CAGCACACCGATCCTCAGCCCTGTCGACGCAGAACCAGCCTGACGTGGCGTAATCTGCGCGGGCGCGGTGACGCGCACAGCATCGGCACCGCCGGGGCATTATCTCCCCGGGCGTGAGAGGACAAGACAATATGCCGGGCAGTGATGTCCGGGCCGTTGCAGTATGTACAGTAGCCGGTCATGTGCATACAGTGACATACATGCGCATGCAGGCCGCAAGGAAAGATCCGCAGAACCAGCGGAGGAACAGTTAGAGGGCCTCAAGTAGAACCAATATGGCAGACAGACCAGTGACTCACATCACCCCCCAGTTTTGGTGTTAGAGCTCGTACTCCACCAAAACTCAAGAGCGAGGAGTTCTGGTTCGCTGACAAAAAGTTTCACTTACATTTAATTGACTTCACTCAACGTCAATCCAACGACGACACATACATCGATGTACGGACAACAGTAGTGCCGGAGGTAAAGCCGTGAACGGGACGTGTACCGGGGTTGACGAAAACACCGTTGTTAGTGTTTGGGCAACAGACAAAATTATCACAGGATCGATAAGGACAGAGTGATGGGGAGTACAGAGTATATCGCAATGCACTTCTGCGTTGCGGCCTGCAGGGCTGACAACTCGTACAAGACAAAAAATATTTATAGTCGCGACATATACTATGATTCTCGTATTTACAAATCACAGAGTGAGGTAAGATCCTGGGAGACAAGCGTGCGCAGGGCAACGTTGCGTACCGTGGCCAGACGAGATATGGCACGCGACAGGGCACATGAGGTCACCGAAGTGAGACATAGACAGCATGGCTACATCATTGCGGTGATACAGTGCGCTAGTTAACAACCATCTTGTAGGCTGGTCAGAGCTCTTGCGCATAACGAAATGCGGGTTATCAAGCTAGGCATTGCGTCAACAATGACGGGAGACAGGACAGACGTGTATTGACGTTGGACATGACAAAGCAAAAACAGATTGATTGTCGCAAGGCCGAGAATCGATGGAACACAGGACAAATCGAATTCATCAGTATGTACACACTGCGACAAGCAGTCGTCATCAGCGACGCTTGTCCGCGATCGGAGAGAGGCGAGGCTGGACGAGACAAGGGCGTGTGATACCCTGGAGGCAAAGATATTTTGAAATCGTGTTTTTATGAATGATCCGTCGTTGGTCTCTGGCGACCCCCCATCCGCTAAGCTGCAAGTAGTACCAAATGATACAATAGCAACGACGAAAGCAGAGTGGGACATGGGTCCCGACACAAAAACAAAAATCGGGTGGAATACACCAAGACAACGCGTGAAAAACATAAACACACACCAAAACATCATAGACACGAAGAGTGGCGGTACCAACCGCTCGATTCACACGTAAAGAAAATTGCAGGCAAGCCTGTGTCGGTACGTCGCGTGGAGACGGAGTAGAATACCAAATGGCGCCCATCTTACTGGCAGTGCGAGTGCTCTAGCGCATATAAACGATGCGGGGCGTCAAGTGATGTAACGAAGTCGAACCACGGGACGTTAACCAACGGGACAAGAATACACATCAATGAAGTTGCCGGGCGGCGTGGAAACATGCGGCCGGGAACTAAAACAAAATATAATAACGACAAGGCGTGCGCGGTACTTCGCACNAAGTATACATATCAATGAAGTTGCCGGGCGGCGTGGAAACATGCGGCCGGGAACTAAATCAAAACATTATAACGACAAGGCGTGCGTGGTACTTCGCACGGGTCCCAAATGAAAAATCATGGGCACCAGGAGAAAAGNGTAAAGAAAATTGCAGGCAAGCCTGTGTCGGTACGTCGCGTGGAGACGGAGTAGAATACCAAATGGCGCCCATCTTACTGGCAGTGCGAGTGCTCTAGCGCATATAAACGATGCGGGGCGTCAAGTGATGTAACGAAGTCGAACCACGGGACGTTAACCAACGGGACAAGAATACACATCAATGAAGTTGCCGGGCGGCGTGGAAACATGCGGCCGGGAACTAAAACAAAATATAATAACGACAAGGCGTGCGCGGTACTTCGCACGGGTCCCAAATGAAAAATCATGGGCACCAGGAGAAAAGCCATGTGGGTACGGAACCCCCGAGTACGCACAGGAAAACATGCTANGGCAGACAGTAAGCCCATACTAAGTGCTAGCGGCGGAGGATGACGGACGTTCCTCCGAGGTGGGGAAAATGCTGAGGGATCTTGGGACAAGATTTCGGCGCGGTAGGATGCAATCATTTCGGCACATTGGGGAATAGCACGGAGCCGCGCGACCGAACATGAGATAATGAGGAGTCTCCTGTAGGGTCGTGGAGTAGGCAGTATTATGCGCAAGTTGGACAAACGGCAACAGTTCCGACCAATTATCACAAGCCAGGTTGCTGTACATAGCGAGCATGTTGCGGACGGTACTATGGACACGCTCAAGGACAGAGTTACCTTGAGGACGATACGCGGCGGTACGGGTTTTCTTGTACCCAAAGACAGACTGCAGTTCTTGCACAAGCCGGTTTTCAAATTCCTTGCCTTGATCAGAGTGCAGAGTTTACGGCGGACCAAACACCGAAAAGACGCGGTCTACAAGGTTTCGCACTGTTACAGTGGCGTCTTTTGATTTGATGGGGATCAATATGACGAAGCGCGTGAGATGGTCGATGACGGACAGGATGTAGCGGTTTCCTTCGGACAGTGACTTGTATTCAACAAGATCTACGGCTACGCATTGGAAGGGTTGCGTTACTGGACGATGGCCGACAGGCAGTTGAGGCGGTCGGTAGGCGTTTTTTCGACGTTGACATGATTCGCAACTCTGAACGTGACGAGTGATATCAGAGTGCATAGTTGGCCACCAGTAGCGGTCGCGAACTTTGTCGAAAGTACCTTTGAAGGCTAGGTGGCCTCCAGAGGAGGGTAGGTCATGGCATGAGGAGATGANGCGCATTGGAAGGGTTGCGTTACTTGACGATGGCCGACAGGCAGTTGAGGCGGTCGGTGGGATTTTTTTCGACGTTGACATGATTCGCAACTCTGAACGTGACGAGTGATATCAAAGTGCATAGTCGGCCACCAGTAGCGGTCGCGAACTTTGTCGAAAGTACCTTTGAAGGTTAGGTGGCCTCCAGAGGAGGGTAGGTCATGGCATGAGGAGATGACAAGGGTTCGTAGTGAGGACGGGACCACGAGTTGATCGCGGAAGTGAGCCCTACGGCGTAGGTGGGCTGCGATGTACGAACGACAAAGCAAACCTTCATGAAGGAAAAATTTGCTCATGCTAGACTTAGACTGGTTCGGGGGAACAGGGGATTTTGCGGGAGAAGCAAGGTAATCGAAATACTGGCGGAACTCGCGTTTTTGGTGATCCAACAGCTTGACAGAATCGACTACCGGGAAGACGGAGACAGCACTCGAAAATAATTCGCGGTCGCTTTCGACGAGCGCGGTTTCATCGAGGTTGTATGAAGACACTTCGTAATCGCGAGGGACAGGGGGACAAAATGGTTTATCGTCTGGCACGTTGCGACAGATAGCCGCAAGGCGCGGTTCGGAAGGCACATGATCGCCGTTAACCTCGCTAAAAATACGGGACAGAGCGTCGGGGACAACGTTGAGTTTCCCCGGCACATGTTTGACAGTAAAATCGTAATTCTGGAGTGCGATAGCCCAGCGCGTCAACATGTTGGACGTGTCTTGCATGTGGTACAGATACGTAAGCGCTTGATGGTCAGTGCTACACGTAAAATGGCGGCCCCAAAGGTACAGGCGCCAGTGGGTGAGAGCCCAGACAACCGCAATGAATTCTTTCATGGTAGCGCTGTAATGGCCTTGGCCCTTAGAAAAACGTTTACTGTAAAACGCGACGATATCGAGTTCATTACCGTCGTCAATATCACGGGATGGTTGGGCGAGGAAAGCGCCTACGCCTTGTTCAGAGGCGTCGGTGTGAACGACAAATTCTCGAGAAAAATCGGGAAAATGGAGGACAGGTGNGTAATGGCCTTGGCCCTTAGAAAAACGTTTACTGTAAAACGCGACGATATCGAGTTCATTACCGTCGTCAATATCACGGGATGGTTGGGCGAGGAAAGCGCCTACGCCTTGTTCAGAGGCGTCGGTGTGAACGACAAATTCTCGAGAAAAAACGGGAAAATGGAGGACAGGTGAGGACAGGACTCTCTTGACATTTTCGAAGGCGGCATCTTGGGCCGACCCCCATGCTTTTCTAAAACTAGCACGTTTGATACAATTTTTTCGAGTGAGTTCGACCAGCGGAGCAGTGACATCGGCGTAATCTTTGATGAAACGTCGGACAAAATTCACCATGCCTAGGACAGATCGGAGATCTTTGATGCAGGTGGGAGTGGGCAGGTTGCGAATGGCATCAATACGGTCGGTGCTGACAGAGATACCTTTTGCGGAGATGACATGACCCAAATAGTCGACTTCTTTCTGACCAAATTGAATTTTCGACGGTTTGAGCGTGAGCCCTGCTGCTTGCAATGCTGCGAACATTTTCTCGAGAGATGACAGATGAGCTTCGAACGTGTGATTGATACAGATCAAATCGTCCATGTACAAAAGAACACCGGAGTCTGGACCTAGATGACCTAGAGCTAGAGACATGACATGTTGGAAAAGCCACGGTGCGTTCGTTACTCCAAACAGCATACGCTTGAAACAGTACTAGCCGGTAGGGGTGACCAATGCAGTACGGTCGACGTGTTCCTCTACCACGGGGATCTGTCAGAAGGCGCTGAGGATGTCGGCGACGATGATGTAGAGAGCTTGGCCGGCATCCAGGCAGGACTCGAGGTTAGGCATGGGCCAGGTTTTACGGACGATGTGACGGTTGAGGGTGTGGCGGTAGTCGACGCAGAAACGGGGACTGCCGTTCTTTTTAGCGACAAGTGTGCATGGGCTTCCCCATGCGCTGGGCCGTTTTTCAATGATACCCCATTCGAGCATTTCGGCGACACATTTGTCGGAGACAGTGGCTACGCGGGGATTCGGACGGTACGGCGGACGATCGACAGGACGCGTGCCTGGCGGCACGGGGAACGTGGCTTCTGCAATGGTGCAGCGGCCGAGTTCGGACATTGACAGAGAAAAGACAGGACGGTATTTTGCGCACAAGTCGAGGACAGCTTGTTGTTGCTCGTTGGTGAGCGTTGTGTTGTCGAAGGCCTTGGACAGAGGCGCTTCGAGTTCGGACCTGGCGTGGCGAATTTCGTCGTCGGTGACGGGTGTGTTCGCGACAGAATTGNTGTTTTTCAATGATACCCCATTCAAGCATTTCGGCGGCACATTTGTCGGAGACAGTGGCTACGCGGGGATTCGGACGGTACGGCGGACGATCGACAGGACGCGTGCCTGGCGGCACGGGGAACGTGGCTTCTGCAATGGTGCAGCGGCCG